TACGGAACCATGACCTCAAAATGTCTTCTTCTGGCCCACAGCTCCCTCAACCCCAGCTCTGAGAACCACTTGCCTTGTCCTCACCTCTGCTCGGGTGTTTCGATCAGCATCTCCAGCATCACATGGCCATGACTGTGTAGGTTTTTTTAGATTTAGTTTTATTTATTTATGCATACAAGAATGGGGTGCAGGCCAGAAGTGTGGGGGCTGAGAGGATTTGCCGGAGACCTTGGGGATCAGAACAGGCAGATGTTATGAAATCTACTGCTGAGGGCAGAAGCAGGGAGACAAGAGAGGTCTCCTGCCTCATGTGGGCACCTCCCTGGGTGGCTGGGGATTGAACTGGTGCTATAGACGCTGCCCATAGCTTCACAGTGCTGTGCTGAACCCTCCATCACCAGGGAGGAACCACTTTTCAAGCCATGATACCAAGTCTCTACAACTCTGTGTTTTTTTGATGGCAGAAGTTACATGAACAATTCCTACCTACAGAACTGCACATATGCACACACACGTACCGAAGCACATGCGCACTTGCACAGACACAGTGCAAGACACGCACATATGCTGAAAGAAAATAGTGCAAATACCAAATGACATACTCCTTGGTAGGTCTGTTTCACTACCTTATGTCACTGTGGTATCACCATGTGGCCCATCTGACTTTTCTAACATATTCTAAATGCTTTAACAATTTTCAAGCAAATCCAGGTATCTGATGACCCATGTGTTAGAAGTGTGGGTACATTCATACAGGAGAAGCAAATACAGTTGGTGTCAAACTAACACTGCTTTAATGTTTTGTGGGCTAGACATGTTCACAGAACAATCCATTTCTGACTGTCTCTTGCAGGCAGAGAAAGAGCATTGAGATGCCTCCATGCCCCAGTGCCCCACAGGCAGAGTAGGTCCCCTGGAGGTACCCCCTGCAGTGGGAAGCCAGTCTGTCCATTGGTGGCCGCCTCCCTCGCCATCCAGGACCTGCGTGGAAGAGAAGAGCCAATAAAGCCCAAGCACAGAGTTACCTGTTTATGATGCTCTTTTACCATCAAAATCCCCCCAGGGTGTGCTGCACAGACTTGCTTTTACAAGGCTCAGATGGAAACCAGGAGGCCCTAGGAGTCTCCACTAGCTGGCAGGCAAGCTATTCTCCAACTAGAATTTCAGTTTTGAAAAGGGGCCAAATCCAGGGGGACTTGGTACCTACCATGGCTATCAGTCAGTGACAATGCCACTCAGACGGAAGAGCTCCTGCATCCTCTGCGCCATGTGTGTGCCCAGTGGCCAGCAGCAGGGCTCTCCCAGCAAGGGGGCAGGGTGGTCCTCAGGGGACAGAGCCTAACATGGGGGAGTGAGGCCCAGGGTTCCCTGCCTCTGGAGGCTCTGCCCACACAGCCTCACACCCCTCCAGGGGCCCTGTACCTGCTCAGCTCTCCCCAACCTCTCCTCCCCCTCCCCTTCACCTGCTCTGCTCCCCTCCAGGTGCTTCACCAGTTCCGTTGCCCTCCTGGCCCTTCACCAGCACTGTTCCAGAAACATCTGTGCTCCAGGGACATCGGTGCTGCCCAGACTTCTGGGCTGCAGTCCTATGTATCTCATGCTGCTTCTGTCCCCTCTGACTGGGCCCAGACCCTGAGTCTTTTCACAGTTTCACCCTTCCCTGGTGTGCTCCTGTTCACCATGGCCACTGAGTGGTTGCGCTTTGGGGGGACGGGGGAGGGGACTTCTGCCGGGTGTGGCCGTAGATATACTTACTCTCTGTTGCTGTGGAGTCCAAATGGCGGACAGCAGCAACAAAATGTCAAGATACTGTTTATGATTTTCTTAGCTCTGGCCCTCCTGCCTTGGCTGGAAACACCATGAGAGCTTGTAAGGCAACCATTTTCAACCTGGCTGATTTTTTTCTGAAGGGGCCACTGCATTGGTACCACACCAGCCACATCTTGGGGGAGGTCTTAGAGTGGTACTGGAGGGCTGGGGGGCTGGACTGATGGTGTTGGCCCTGCACTCCTGGTCCCCCTCTAGCTGCGGGCCTGACACAGTGGTGGTGCTATGTTCCTAGATGTCCTCCAGCTAGGGGCCTGCACAGTTGTGGTGCTGTGCTCCCCAGCATCCTCCAGCTGGGGTCCTGGCACTGAGGTGCTGCTGTCCTCCCAGGCATCCTCCAGCACAAGGCCTAGCAGGGAGGGTCTGCTCTTTTCCAGGGCATCCTCCAGCAGGGGGCCTGGCACACAGGTGGCGCTGTTCTCTGGGACATCCTCCAGCAGGGAGCCTGGCAAGGAGGTGGTGTTGTGCTCCTGGGCATCCTCTAGCTCAGGGACTCTGGCAGAGATGACCTTTTCCCTGGGGTGGCATCCTTTCCCTTCTGTAGGACCTCCTGTTTCTGAAGGATACCTGGTGTTGCAGGCCTTCGGGTATTCCCCGAACTTCAGGCTACGGGAGCCAGTCCACGGAATCCAGGTCACCATGGGGCACAGTGTGAGGGAAGGGCTTGTGGAAGGTGACGCGCCTCCGCCACTCCTCCTCTTCCTCCTTTTGGTCCTCCTCCCCCTCCTGCTTCCTGGAGTGGAGGATCGGGTATGTGCCCATGACCTCATCGTATTTTTTTCTCCTCCATGGCCTGGAGCATTTCGTACCTCTGGTAGCTTTCATGGCTTTCAATTATGGCCGGGTCCTGGTGACCGAGGGACGGCTCGCTGAAGGCAGGAGTCCCTTCCTCATTTCCACCCAGGGGTGCTGCTTGATGCTCTCCAGGGTGCTGCATCTCTGGGAGTCCAGTGCCAGCATTTTGGTCAGCAGGTCCCGGCACTGGCCCGAGAGGGAGGGCAGGTGGACGTACCCGCCCAGGATGCAGTCCCCGATCTCCCCAGGGCTGGTCCCCCTGGAGGGCAGTGTGCCAGTGACCATTCGGTAGAGGATGATGCCCAGGCTCCACATGTCCACCTCGGGGCCCTTATAGTGCTGGTGAAGGTAGACTTCGGGGGCCCAGTATTCTGGGCTACAGCAATATGTGCTCAGCGCTTTGTTGAAGCCCTGGACGCTGAGCCCAAAGTCCGCCAGCTTTACTTTTCTCTCTTGGTTCAGCAGAATGTTCTCAGGCTTCACATCCCGGTGTGCGATGCCTTTGGCGTGGCAGTAGCTGGGGGCAAGAGGATGTGTTGAAATATCTGGTGGGGCTCGCTCTCCACCAAGCTCCCACGCTTGTTCAGGTAGTCCCGGAGGTCGCCCCTCTCCACGGACTCCATCACGAGCTGCAGCTCCTCCCCGGTGTCCACCACCTGGAATAGCTAGATGATGTTCTGGTGGTGAAGCACCTTCATGCACCCCATCTCGCAGGCCAGGAGCTGGAGGTCAGGCAGCTAGGACTTGCGGATATCCTTGATGGCCACCTTCATGGCTGTGAGCGCGTGCAGTGCCAGCTTCATCTTGGCGTGGGCGTCCTCCCCCAGAGTCCACAGCACAAGGTAGGTTTTGACTTTACCTCCCTGGGGAGTGAGGTGCTTAAGCATAGCGAGTGTGGACTTGGACTGTGCTGACTACACTCACCAGCCCTGACTGTACTCACAGCCCTGTGCTACCTCAGCTAACAACTAACTCTCCTACGATATTAACAAATGTACTATTAATCTAATGTTAATAGTACCCAAAAAGTACACACTGAACTCACTAAATACTAACAGTGCTAGCTTAACTCTACCAGCAATACTAACTTCACTAACGTTAGCAGAAATACTAATACTAACTACACAAAAAGTAAATGAAAATACACAAACAAAAAATTACAAATGAGATAAAAATTTAAAAATATGATTAAAACAAACCAATTACAAACGAACCACTAAATTTAAGAATAAAACATAGAACAACAACAAAGACAAATAGGACAAACAACAGGAGAACAAACAACAATTAGAAACTAAAAATAAACAGCTAAAACAAATAACAAGTAAAAGAAATAAATAAACCAAAATAAAACCAAATAAACCAAAACATGCTCTCACTCTGTCCGAGTCCACATGTCACTATCCCAAAGCTTCCTGGCTCCTAAGGACACAGCCACAGTCCAGAAGGACTTATGTAGGCTCTGCTGGTGCCTTCACAGTGGCTCCTTGTGGCGTCAGAGCCAGAGGCCACAGCCATCCATTGGCAGAGGGAAACCCCAGTGGTTTCTCAGCCTTAACAATGAAGCTACTGCCAAGAGGTGTGTTTATGGGACCTACTAGAATTTGAAATGTACGACAGTTACAGTTACAGTTAACGACAGTTACAGTTAACGACAGTTAACGACAGTTAAAGACAATCCATAGTATGCTTGAGAGGCTGTTTCATTTGTGCTGAGAAATCCTGTCCTAGGTTTTGGCTTTTCAAGATCTCCCCATACTGTCACTGCCTTAATCTCTGATGTGTCTCAAAATGACATGACACCATCAACTGACATAATAAACAACATAACGTCATGAGCATGAGACTCAACACAGTCCTTTCTTCACATCCTAACGTTGAAAACTCTGTGGGACATGGTTTCCCTCCATTTTTGCTCATAAGCTGAGCATGCCTATGCCTATGGGCCACCTCTCAGGCCAGAGGCAGGGGCGGCTCTGGCAGGCGGGCAAGATGCAGTAAATCTCGGCCTGTGGGTTCCCTCTTGCCCATGTCTGCTGCTCTCCTGCCTTGCCTGCTAGTGCCAGGGCACAGCCCCTTCCCTCAGTGTCAAGAGTGTCGCCAGCAGCATGACACGGGGTGTGTGTGCATCACTCAGTGCTGCCTGCCGTGGTCTCCCCATGTTGTGGGGACACCCTCTGACCTGACTCAGATGGGGGTGGGGGCAGAGGGGTGTGGTCAGCTTCCACTGAGATTTCTGGCTTAGATATAGCGGCTTCTTGCTCGAGCTGGGGATTGGGGCGGGTAGGGGGTTGGGTGAGTTGGCAAAGGACAGGTCCAGATGCTGTGCCCCTTAGCCCTTCTAGGAATTACCTGGCATCTGGAAATGGTGGGTGCAGGTGAACAATGGGGGTTCTGTTGCGACTCAGGCTGCAGGTTCCTTTCACCCTCCAAGCCTACTCTGTTCACTCACAGTATCAGCTGAGAACCGAGTCTCACCTGAGCAGCCTGAAGCACAGTCAGAGCCCTGAAGCTCAGAAGCATTGGCTCAGGGGTGTGGGGACTGATATTGCTCCAGCGCCTCTTTTTCCAGGTCCAGAGAGTGAAGGGTTTGATTTGGCTCAGGGTGTGAGGACACACGGGGCAGGCTTCCCGCTGGTCCATCTGCCCCTGGGGAGCCTGACCCATCAGTGGCTTTGAGGTTCTGTTGCTCCCTCCTGCCAACTGCTGCCGCTGCTGCTGAGCTGCTGCAGAGAGGGAGTTTTGGCCACGCATCCTCTCCCCAACTTGGTGCTTCAGTTCTATAGTCGGCTCTCAGGGTTACTGTTTAAGCTTGTCTTGATGTGTCTATTAATTTAGTTACTTTATATTCTATATATTAGTGACACCATTAATATTTATTTTATTTCTCCTTCTGTTTATTTCACTTAGCATTATCCCTTTCAGCTCCATCCATGTTGCCAAAAATGGTATAAGTTTATCTTTTTTGCTCACTGAGTAATATTCCTTTGTTTATATGTATCACATCTTCTTGAACTGCTCATCTGCCATGGGGCATTTAGGTTGTTTCCATATCTTGGCTATTGTAGATAGTGCTGCTCTAAACACAGGTGTGCGGGTTTCCTTTAGAACTAGTATTTTTGTGCTCTTTGGATAAATATTTCGGAATGGAATTGCTGGGTCATATAGTAAATCCACTTTTAGTCTCTTGAGGAATCTCCACACTTTTTTCCATAGAAGTTGGATTAGTCTACATTCCCAACAATGGAATAGGGTTCCTTTCTCTGCATATCCTCAGCAGCACTTTTGTTTTGTTTTGTTTTGTTTTTAATATGGGTCAATCTTACAGGTGTGAGGCTTTATTTTTATTTTAAGTGCACCAGTCTGTTCAGGTGCTGGTGTGGATCTTGTGGGAAGTCACAAGACCTCGGTTGTTCCAGACAGGCACTGTTGGGGTCCCCTAGATGGTCACAAGTTCTCTGGCTCCTGTGGCTCCCTTCCATTTTGCATCTGGTGTCTCAGTGGTGTGGGGGCTGGATGGGGCTGCCAGGGTGTAACTTAATATTTTAAATATGTATGGTGCATTAAATTTCCCTCTGCCCATATCTAATAGCACATCACTTATTTGTTCCAGGTTATGCTGGAAACTGACTCTATTATCCAAGAATATGTATAAGAATAAGAAAGAAGTGCTAATACGCACACTGACTGTCAATAAAGGTATGTCCATTTTATTAATTTCATAATTAATAACTTCACTAGTTTATGTTTCATAGTTAATTTCAGATGATCTGAGCTAAGATAACATAAATACAAAGAAAGCTGACAATTTGGCCAAATGGTAGCCTTATAAAATGTGAGAATAAATAACTCCCAGTGTGATATGATTTCCAAATCCTGGAAAGACGCTTCTTCCCCAAACTTGTACCTTGTTTACTAAATTCCTTTTCCCAGCTTCCTCCCTTTATGAAATTTCAAGTTGACAATCTCTCATCTTTTCCACATTTCCTGAATTTCATTCTTCAGGATCTTCCAAACACTCTTATTTCAACATTTATTCCAAAACATATAAAACGCAAGCACCTTCAGGGAGAAATGACAGCCACTGACAATTTGGTTTATTTGGTTTTCTTTTGACTTATTTATTTTTTTTTACTTATTTAGTTATTTGTTTTAGTTCAAAAATGGTTAATTTTTATTTAGAGTTCCAAGGCATATTGCAGGGGAGGAGGAGGGAGAGGGACCAGAGGGAGGGAGGGAGGAGCACAGGGGACTGAGGTGATGGTGCACGGGTGCATTGGTGAAGGAAACTCTAGGGGGACTCCACCTGAGGGGGTGGGGGAAGCAAATATTGTTTAAAAATGAACAATGATGTAAAAAATAATATAAAAAGTAGAAAAGAAAAAAAAAGGTTAATTTTTTTTAGAGTTCCAAGGCATTGTACAAACAGAGTTTTACTTATGTCTTACTCAATTTTAAGACTAAATAAGATTTTTATCTCTTGTTGAAAGATTTTGATAAGTGACAATAGATAAAGAACTGCACATTAAAGGGAGGAAGACCTGGAAGTATGTCTGGAGTGAGAACACTGGAAGAATAAGTTAACAATTCAAAAGTATTTGAGCCATCGAATAATGCATGGTATAAATATCAGGAAACACCAAACAAGTTACATTTATTATTAACGTTGTAAATCTAGTAGAATTCTTTTTCAGGTAACTTAGCTGTATATGTGATATACATTTTTCAAAATTTCCCATTAAATCTAATAAATTAGTTTTGATTTGCAATATCATTTAACCACTAATTGATTTTTTTATTATTTTCATGGGATTAGACTAAAAGAATTTCACAGCATTTTCACAAGAAGGGAAATTTTTCAGAGATCTTTTAAATGTAATTAAGAGCTACCTATGGGTTGGTCTGGTTTTATTAGGAAAAATATATATGGGTGAGTTACCAGATAACGGGTTTTTAAATCTGCATTAACAGCCATTTGCTAAAATTTCATGTTAGCTACTTCATTATTTATTTTTAGGATGTTATTTATTTTTAAGGTATTTATTTATTTATTTTAACATTTATAAATTGTCTGGTTTTTCTTTGTTGTGTTTTGTACTATTATTATTATTATTTTACACTGATGTCTTATTTGGTCCCCCTATATTCCTGTTATAAGTGAAACCATCTGATATTTTTCTTTTTCCTTCTAGCTTATTTCACTAACCATAATTCCTTCTAGCTCCATCCACATTGCTGCAAATGACAAGAGTTTATCTTTTTTGATTGCTGAATAAAATCCCATTGTGAATATATACCACATCTTTTGATCTGGTCATCTATTTTTGGGCATTTGGGTTGTTTCCAGGTTTTACCTATTGTAAATAGTGCTGCAATAAACATAGGGGTACAGGTGATCTTTTGAATCACTGTTTTTGTGTCCTTTGGATAGATCCCTAGGAGTGGAATTGCCTAATTGTATGGTAGCTCCATTTTTAGTAGACTGAGGTACCTCCAGACAGCTTTTCACAGTGGCAGGACCAGCAATTTGTACTCCCACCAGCAATTTAGGAGAGTTCCTTTTTCACCACATCCTCACCAGCATTTGTTGTTGCTTGTTTTTTTGATATGTGCCATTCTTTTGATATGTGCCATTCTGGTGTAAGGTGGTATCTCAATGTGGTTTTGATTTGCATTTCCTTGATGATAAGGGATGTTGAACATTTTTTTCATATGCCTGTTGGCCATTTGCTTTTCCTCTTTGGAGAAATATCTTTTGAATTCTTCTGCCCATTTCTTGACAGGATTGTTTATTTTGTTTTTGTTGAGCCATGTGAGTTCTTTGTATATCATTGTGATCAGTCCCTTATCAGTTGGATGGAGTGCAAAGATTTTTTTTCCCAATCAGTGGGGTGTCTCTCTGTTTTGGTTAATGTCTCTTTGGCTGTACAGAAGATTTTCAGTTTGATGTAATCCCAGGTGTTTATCTTTGCCTTCATTATCACTGCTTTGGGTGATGAGTCTTTAAAGATGTTATTGTGATATATGTCTTGTAGTGTTTTACCTATATTTTCTTCTATATATTTTATGGTTTCAGGATTTATGTCCAGTTCTTTCATCTATTTTGAGTTGATTTTTGTGCACTATGAGAGGTAGTGGTCTAGTTTCATTTTTTTGCGTGTGGTGGTCCAGTTTTCAAAGCACCATTTATTGAACAAACTGTCCGTGTTCCATTGCATATCCTTTGCTCCTTTGTCAAAGATTAGTTGTTCATATAAGTATGGCTTTATTTCTGGGCTCTCTATTTAGTACCATTGGTCTGTGTGTCTGTTTTTGTTCCAATACCAAATTGTTTTAATTTTATGGCTTTGTAGTATAGCTTGAAGTTTGGAAGTGTGATACCTCCCATCTCTTTTGTTTTTATCAGTAGGGCTTTGGCTATTCGTGGTTTTTTGTGGTTCCATATGAATTTCATCAGTATTTGTTCTATTTCTTTGAAGAATGTCTTTGGGATTTTTATTGGAATAGCACTGAATCTGTACATTGCTTTTGGGAGGATGGCCATTTTAATAATGTTGATTCTTCCAATCCATGAGCAGGGGATGTCTTTCCATTTCTTTGTGTCTTCTTCAATTTCTTTTTTTTTTTTTTAATAAATTTTATTGTTATATTCCCCATACAATTGCAGCCCCCCCATTCTGACCCCAATCCCTCCCCTCCCACCCCCGCCCCCCTAAAAGTGTCTCTGGTTCATAGTTTTTTGTTGATTTTGATTTTCACTTTCTTATAGTTATTCATTTCCTGGTCCCTTATTTAAGTTTTCTAGATTCCTGCTATGAGTGAGACCATCCGGTATTTTTCTTTTTCTTTTTGGCTTATTTCGCTGAGCATGATCCCTTCCAGCGCCATCCATGTTGCTGCAAATTGCATGTGTTTATCTTTTTTGAATGCTGAGAAATATTCCATGGTATATATGTACCACATCTTCTTGATCCAGTCATCTATTTTTGGGCATTTGGGTTGTTTCCAAAGCTTAGCTATTGTAAGCAGTGCTGCTATAAACATAGGGGTGCAGGTGTTCTTTGGAATTGATGTTTCTGTGACCTTTGGGTAAATACCTAGGAGTGGAATTGCTGGATCATATGGAAGCTCTATGTTTAGTAGGTCCAGAAATCTCCATACAGCTTTCCACAGTGGTTGGACCAGTTTGCACTCCCACCAACAGTGCAGAAGAGTTCCTTTTTCTCCACACCCTCGCCAACATTTGTTGTTGCTAGTTTTTTTAATATGTGCCATTCTCACTGGTGTAAGATGGTATCTCATGGTAGTTTTGATTTGCATTTCCCTGATTAAAAGTGATGTTGAACATTTTTTCATATGCCTGTTGGCCATTTGCATTTCCTCTTCAGAGAAGTTTCTTTTTAGCTCTTCTGCCCATTTTTTGACTGAATTATTTTCTTTGTTGTTGTTGAGTCTCATCAGCTCTTTGCAGATTTTTGTGATCAATCCTTTATCATTAGTGTTGTGTGCAAAAATGTTCTCCCAGTTGGTGGGGTTTCTCTTAGTTTTTGTTATTGTCTCTTTTGCTGTGCAGAAGCTCTTTAATTTGATGTAGTCCCAGCTGTTTATCTTTGCCTTCACTATCACTGCTTTGGGTGATGTGTCTGTAAAGATGTCTTTGATGTGGAAATCACGTAGTGTTTCGCCTTTATTTCCTTCTATGAATTTTATGGTTTCAGGTTTTATGTCTAGTTCTTTAATCCATTTTGAGTTGGTTTTTGTGTATGGTGTGAGGTAGTGGTCAAGCTTCATTCTTTTGCATGTAGCGGCCCAGTTTTCCCAGCACCATTTATTGAACAGACTTTCTTTGCTCCAATGCATATTCTTTGCTCCTTTGTCAAATATTAGTTGACCATAAATCTGTGGGTTTATTTCTGGATTTTCTATTCGATTCCATTGGTCTGTGTTTCTGTTCTTGTTCCAATACCATGCAGTTTTGATGATTATGGCTTTGTAGTATAGCCTGAAATCTGGAGTGTGATGCCTCCATTCCCTTCTTTTTTTTCAGGAGAGCTTTGGCTATTCGGGGTTTTTGGTGATTCCATATGAATTTCATCAATAATTGTTCTATTTCTTTGAAGAATAACATTGAAATTTTTATTGGAATAGCATTGAATCGGTATATTGCTTTTGGTAGGATGGCCATTTTAATAATGTTTATTCTTCCAATCCATGAACAGGGGATATATTTCCATTTCTTTGTGTCTTCTTCTATTTCTTTTAACAGTGTTTTATAGTTTTCTTTGTAAAGGTCCTTTACCTCTTTTGTTAGATTTATTCCCAAGTATTTGAATTTTTTTGTTTCGATAATAAAGGGGATGGTTTTTTTCATTTCTTCTTCTTCAGATTTATTGTTAGTGTATAGGAAGTCTTCTGACTTTTGAATGTTGATTTTGTATCCTGCTACTTTACTGAACTGATTGATGAGTTGAATTAGTTTTTCTGTGGAGATTTTGGGGTTCTCTTTGTATATTATCATATCATCTGCAAATAGTGATAGTTTGACTTCTTCTTTTCCTATTTGGATTCCTTGTATGTCTTTCTCTTGTCTTATTGCTCTGGCTAGGACTTCCAGTATTATATTGAAAAGCAGTGGTGAGAGTGGACATCCTTGTCTTGTTCCAGATCTTAATGGAAATGCTTTCAGCTTTTCACCATTGAGAATGATACTGGCTGTTGGGTTGTCATATATGGCCTTTATGATGTTGAGGTATGTTCCTTGTATCCCAAGAATTTCAAGGCCTTTTATCATGAATGGGTGTTGCACTTTGTCGAAAGCTTTCTCGGCATCTATTGATATTATCATATGGTTTCTATATTTCTTTTTGTTGATGTGTTGGTTAACGTTGATTGATTTTCGGATGTTGAACCATCCTTGTGTCCCTGGAATGAATCCTACTTAGTCATGGTGAATTACCTTATGGATACACTGTTGGATTCTGATAGCTAAAATTTTATTGAGGATTTTTGCATCAGTGTTCATTAGGGAGATTGGCCTATAGTTTTCTTTTTTTGTGTTGTCCTTGTTCGGTTTTGGTATTAGTGTAATGTTGGCTTCATAGAATGTGTTAGGTATTATATACCTTCCTTCTCAATTTTTTGGAAGAGTTTGTGAGGGATAGGCACCAATTCGTCTCTGAATGTTTGGTAGAATTCATTTGTAAATCCATCAGGTCCTGGGCTTTTGTTTTTGGGAGGTTTTTGATTACCATTTCAATTTCGCTAATTGTAATTGGTCTGTTTAGGTGTTCTATTTCTTCTTTATCTAGCTTTGGGTGATTGTAGAGTTGTAGGAATTTGTCCATCTCCTCTAGATTGTTGAACTTGTTTCCATAGAACTGTTCATAGTAGTTATTAATTATTCTTTTGATTTCTGCTGTGTCCATTGTGATTTTTCCTCTTTCATTTATTATCCTATTTATTTGTGCTTTCTCCCTTTTTGCCCTTGTGAGCCTGGCTAGTGGTTTATCTATTTTATTTATTTTTTCAAAGAACCAGCTCTTGGTTTCATTGATCTTTTGGATTGTTTTTTTAGTTTCGATTTCATTTATTTCTGCTTTGTTTTTTATCATTTCTTTTCTTCTACTGGTTTTGGGGTTTTTTTGTTGTTCTTTTTCTAGATCTTTGAGCTTCAAGATTAGGTTGTTTCTTTGAGTTCTTTCTTGTTTCTTGATGTGAGCCTCTATTGCT